TTATTGTAGGTATAGGTAAATACATATGTTAATTTCTAAAGCATTAATAATAGTGGTACAGAAACACAAACTTTCTATTCAATTTAGATTATATATAATACTTATTGAAGGTCACTTTTTTTAATTTACCACTGGTTCGAAAAAAACTCAGCGGGACTTTTTTTTAACATAAAACGTAAACACTCACGCCTGTCACCCAGAGGGGTAGGCAGAGACTACAGACTTCCATTTGGCACGATCCTGACACACCTCTCTCGCCTCCTTCACGTCCTTATACCTGCGCATACATGCTCGTCGGTTAGGGAAACTCCTTGTACGGTCCGTTTTCAAAAAATCGATAATTTGGTCGATAATTTCGCCTAGTACGTCTCTATCCAACTCTGCCATTCACTTCTGCAACATAAAACTTCTTGTCACTCTTTCCTCATTCATGCTTTCTACATGACCAAACCACCGAAGCATTCCTTTCTTAATTCTGGTCACAACATCATCTTGCAAACAACACTCTTCTCTTATCACACAATTTTTCACCCTGTCATTCAGATTCAGCCCTAACATACTCCTTAACGACGTTCATCCTACTCTCGTGCTTCTTCTGACACACCCAACTTTCACTACCATACGTTAAAGTAGGGATCAACACAGCATTGTGAATTGCCATACGTGCCTTTTTTGACACATTTTGACTCTTCACAATAGAGTGTAGGGCCCCATTTACTCTATTTTCTGCGTTCACTCGTCGTTCTATATCCTTATCATATCTCCCATGCCTGCTTAATACGCAACCCAAATATACAAACTCATCTACTTGCTCGATCAACTCTCTTTCTATTCTTATTTCACATATCGTTTTACTTTCTGCTCTATAAAATATAAAGTATAACTTTTCGTCTTACTCGCATTCACCTTCATAACCCTTTCTTTTAATGATCTGTTCATTAATGTAACCATCATTTGCAACTCGGCCGCTGACGACGCAAGAATACAAAGTACAAAATGCATTTGACGGTTAACTCTTCTTAATACGCATTCTTCAACTTTGAAATTTTTAAACTTTCCAATTTTTTTTTGCTTTTTTTTTAAATAACAACGTTATCATGCATATTGCAATTAACAACACAGAAGAAATTAGAAATAGCTTGGTATCGATTACCCTACGCAGGGCTTATATATTTTATACAAACTTAGTTTAATAAATATTTTGAATTTTTATGATTGATTGAGATAGACAGACAGGCGCGGTGCGCAGACTTTGTTTTAATATGTTTTGGTTAATTAGTAAGTACTTATACACCGTTATAAAGTTCAAGGTAATGTTATTAATTTCATATTTATTTTATAACGTTCAACTACACATTCATGGCACGTGTTTCTATGTGTACATAAAAAATATTTTATAACAAATTGTTTAATTGGATTATCTCTTAGGTAGTTCATAATTTTTCAAAACCTCGTCAACCTGGCATTTAACAACTCCGGAGGCTTAATTTTGTAAGTTAATGCTATGACAAGTTCTTGTTATTCTTATTTTACCTCTGTGTTGGCTTGATTAATTCTATGATAAAATACTCAGGATATGAGCGTAGAAAAACTCAATTATGTGATTAAAATTTTGTAATAATTATGGTAATTCTTAATCCTATTTATTTACTTTAATTACATGCAAATTTCGCCATTTCAATTGAAGTTTATTCATGTCTCTTTATAGAAATCTTGGGAACGGGAATCGATTAAAACCTTAATGGCCTTCCACATAGCCCTAGCTCATTTCTGCTATGTATGCTATGCTACATACTCGTAGCAGAAATCACTTCACTCGTAGTTTTACATACGAATGGTATTGCACGTGTAACGAAGCTTGCGAATTTCATGCTTTAAATATTTCTTTTGAGATTGTGGTATTGAAAATATTATTACGAACTTTTAAGTAAAAATTCAAATATATTTTTACCCTGGGAACTAAGATGATATACCTAAATTCCAGTTATAGTACAAGCTGAACATATCAATAAAGGAGTTAAGGAATGCCTTAAAACACGCTCTTGGGCCACTTGCACTGGCACACTCAATATAGTGGGTGCCGCACCGGCACGGTATCAGTTGTCATTCTAAAACACTGGAGCACTGCGACGTCAGCTTACTGATCTCTATGCTATATTTAATGGCTAATGGATATCATACATAAAAGACACGCTGTGTCTGTACTGTAGTACAATTGGGTTTGACCGACTGGGTAAGTACTACGCTCTCAAATAATATCGGCGTAAAATGGCAGCTTAATGCTGTTGTGTTCCATATGTTACCCTAATTTTATTTTTTTTTCAAATAAGCATGAAATTTAAATCAGTTCATTTTCCATAGATCGGACCATAAACAA